AGCCAGACTGTGATATGCCTGGTGTAGATTTTTTGGTATTTATCCTGTTGGATGGTCTATTTTGTCATTGTTACTCTTTTTTCTCTGTCTTTCATTTTGGGAAGTTTCTACTGACATATCCTGAAGTTCACCTTCTTGGTCATGTCCAGTCTGTGGATTCCTGCATCAAACAAAATAGTTGCAACCGTGAGAGTTATTAATCCAACTACAGTGTTTTTGATATCTACTTTCTGTGCCTATGAGTTTGACTATTCTAGGTAACTCATATGAATAGAATCATACAATATTGTTATTTTATGTCTGGCTTATTTCACTTAGCCTAATGTCTTTGAGGTCAAGGGCACTTCTTAACCAGAATGTTTTTTTTTTTAAATTATTCTTTGTTAGTGTGTACCTAAGTAGATAGAATTGTCCTCTGTCTGAACTTGTGACTTGGGTTAATCATAATGTTGTCTCTTTGTCCAGCCCCCAAAAGGAAGAGTTGAACAGGGGGTGGATGGGTAAGATGTTAGACAGTTTTAAACTGTTTTTAAGAGTCGAATTTTCTTTATTTGTTTTAGTACTTGCCAGAGTATTTACATATTCAGATGAAAACAATAAATTATGCTTGGTGGTGAGAAGGTGTATACTACTTATTCTGTCCACAGATTTAGGTGTTGAGTGTTAATAATCTGTCTCCTGAATTAGGTACTGGTTTAATACAAGTTAAGAGTTTCAGCTGTGGTGGTGTGGGGAATGCCATACAACTCGGAAGGATCTCTTTATTTATTGTAATGTTACTTGCCTCTTTAATTTCATACTTTTTGTCTCTTCCTCCTAGCTGTGATGAGTTGTTAAAGCTGCTGAATGGGCCGTTTTTCTTTGTTTCCGTTGTTGGAGACAGTAGACCTGCAAAGGGGGGAGAGCTCTTTATGCCTTGATGCATGTAGACCTGGCTGGACCATGAGCTGTGGATTTAAAGTTTACCTAGCTCTGGTTTCACTGTGTTGCTATGAAATGTTACCTTTCCTATGGTGAAATAAGAATTTGTTTCTTATTATTTAGAGTAGATAGGGCTTCTTGATTGTTACTAATTATATTACATTGGGAAACTTGTTTATTCACTATAGTATTTGACTACATTTAAAGTTCAAGTGTTTTCAAATTGCTTTTTTGCGATTGAGATTTATTCTGTAAGAATCTTCTCTTTCCCTTTTTATTTTACTGGAGGAATACGATTGTGTGTGTGTGTGTGTGTGTGTGTGTGTGTGTGTGTGTGTGTATATAATTTCAAGTTTCAAGGCTGTTTTTGGTACTTACACTAGTAAATAGCACCAGATGATTGTTTTTCAAGTTCTAAGTTTGCTTTTAGTAACTTATACAGCAAACAGTATCTGTTACAGCTTGGCTGCTTCTAGAATTCATTAGAATGCTCCTTGAGGGCAGGGATGTTCATTGCTGTATCCTTAGAACCTAGAAGAGTGGCTGGCACATGGTAGGACTTCAGTAAATATGTGTGGAGTAAATATGGATGTATTTTAGGAAAGTTACCAGTATTCATTATGTTAGAGAAATAGACTTTTTTTTTAATCCTCACCAGAGGACATTTTTCCATTTTTTGTTCAGATAGAGTGGGAGGGAGAGAGAGAGAGAGAAAGAGAGAGAGAGAGAGAGAGAGAGAGAGAGAGAGAGAGAGAGACATCGATGTGAAAGGGACACATCGAGTGGCTGCCACCTGCACAACCAACCAGGGCTGGGGACAAACTGCAACCAAGGTACGTGCCCTTAGCAGGAACCAAACCCAGGTCTCTCTGGACCGCAGGTCGACACTCTAACTGCTGAGCCAAACTGGCCAGGGTGAGAAATAGACTTCTTAATTTCAAGTTTTGAGATATAAAAACTTGTTAGTTTTGATTAGCTAGGTACTCCAATTTACCTTTCATCCTTTTATTGACTAATCAATTTAATGTTGTTTTAAACATTTCCATTACTAAGGTAATGGTAAACTAAGAAGAGATGATATATAGTCATTGGATATTCTTTTAATGAGATACCAATTTTTAAAGTTTATTTTGGAGAGGGCAAGGTTAACAAACATGCTAGACTATGATTTTAGTCATCTATACGTTTTACAATTTATTTTTACTATCTTGTTTGTGTAATTTATTTCTAGGAATAATAAAAGATAATTTCCCCCATATTCTTTTACCCATGTTCAAAAGAGAACACATTGAAGCTTCATAATGAAAAACTTAAAGGTATTTATTTATTAAACAAATATTTTAAGTACCTGCTGCAAGCTAGGTACTATTCTGTGTGCTAGGAAAAAAAACCAAAAACAAATAGACAGCTTCCTTCTTCATAGAACTTAAGAGGAGATAGAGAAACAAGATAAATAAGTAAAATGTAGAATAAAAATAGATTTATCTAAACAGAATAGATTTTAAAAATATATTTGTGTAGGTTGGACCTTTTAAAAATAATCATTAAATACTACTTTGACATTACTGGGGAATGGATGCCACATGTTAGAGCCTAGAACAGAGCAAGGCACTTTGGTAGGCACAGTTTGGTAAACAGAGACGGAGTTTACAGTCCATGCTCTCAAGATTCACACAAGAACTGCAGTGCAAAGCCATGTAAAGATAACCACCTGCAATGTTAGTAATATGCTTTGAGAGTTCAGAAAAGTTGGAGTTTCTTGACTGCTGGCTCGGTCTAGTCAGAGAACAGGTGGAACAAAGATATAGATATTGATATACTAAACAACATATTGAGAATTAGTAACTTTTTTGGTGTGTGGATGTGGATGTTGGGGAGACTTACTGGGGAATATCAGGAGCAGAGGAAGGAAAAGTAAATTATAGGTGTATTATATGTAACAGATCTCCAGGTGCTCCTATAGGTAATGGGGAGCCACAGATGACTCTCTAGCAGGACAGTGGCATGATTACATTTCTTGTTGATAAAATTGACTTTGGAAAGGAAAGGATGGAGGGATCCTTTTGGAGCATCTAAAATATAGTTCAGGGCAGGACCACTGTTGGGCTTTTCTGTTGGGTACCACTGATTCTTTCATCCTTGTGAAGGTGGCTACTGATGCACAAGTCCATATAGTATATAGTATGAATGGAGTTGTGCCATGTGTCAGCCGTGTGACCAACAGAGAGATGAGGGCCTCAAGTTGAAGATGTTGAAAGTAAAGAAGAGGGTCCAAGAGAATTTTGTAATTGGTAGAATTGGTAACCACCTGGGGATGGGAGTTTTGTGGAATAAAACAATTATAGATGGTTTGAAGTTTAAGGCTGATTTTTCACATTGGGTGATGATCTGGACATTTCCCCAACACACCTCCTTATATCTGCTTTTCATAAATTGCTTCATCTCTCACTGAGCCTATCTTGACATCTTTTCTCCATCCCCAATTTGAGCTTTTAAAATCTGTTTTGGACTATATATCCAAGCTTATTAGAAGTATTTATGAAACAGGAATATTTCCTATGGGGTACTGTGAGTAAAAGATATGTGGGCTTTAAGTATACTAAAGTATAGGGATCTTTGTTTTTAATTTTTTTTTCCATTATTGATTTTAGAGAGAGAGGAAGGAAGGGAGAGGGAGAGAAATAGAAAACATTGATGAGAAAAAACATCGACTGGTCACCTCCTGCATGCCCCTCTGGGGATCGGGCCCACAACCTGGGCATGTGCCGTGACCGGGAATGGAACCTGCGACCTCTTGGTACATGGGTCGACACTCAACCACTGAGCCACATCGGCCCGACTAAAGTATAGGGATCTTGATATTTGTCAAAGTTATTAATTTTGTCCCAGATTTAACTTTCTGGATAAATTATCTTATGATATATTAACTTTTCAATCATTTCATAATATTTACTTGTAGCAGTTTAGCCTTGTGGTTTTAGTAAAAACATTTAATTATGGAGATTTTTAAACATACCCCAAAATAGAATAGTATAATGACCCTCATGGTACCTGTCAATATTTTACTGGTTTTATTTTTTTATTTAAAATTTTTTTTATTCTTAATTGATTTTTAGAGGGAGAGGAAGGGAGCGGGAGATAGAAACATTGATGAGAGAGAACATCGATTGGCTGCCTCCTGCATGCCCCCCACTGGGGATCAGGCCTACAACTTGGGCATGTGCCCTGACCGGGAATTGAAACGGATACCTCTGGTGCATGGGTCGACACTCAGCCACTGAGCCCCGCCGGCTGGACTTTACTGGTCTTATTTAATCTATTATCCAGCCTGTTCTTTTATTCCTTTTTGTTTTTGCTATAACATTTTTAAGCAAGTGGCAGGCATAGCCTTTCATCACAAATACTTGCTTATTTAATAGATAAGGACATCATCATTATTATTAACATGATCATAATACTGTTATCACACAAAGGATCAACTTTATCCTGATTTAACAACATCTAATATAATATCCACTTTGGGTTCAGATTTCCTTTAGGATTTGAAAAAGACTTTCACAGTTGGATTGTTTGAATCAGATTCGAAACAAGTCTCATGGTTATTTTTAAAGTCGATATTTTTTTAAAGCGAAAATTAAAGCAGTGTGGAAACATTTTAGTATAAGCTATTATTCTAAGAGAGCAATACTGTTTTTGACAGTCATTCTGTCTGGAACTTAGTTTTGCTTAACTGTATAAAAGATGTTAAGATAGATGGTAGCTTTTTTAATGATTATTAAACATTATAGGAAATCTTCCAAAATGGGAAAAGTAGGTGTGACACCACTTATCTAGAAGGATAGAGAGTAAACATGTAACAGATGTGAGAAGGTTCAGGTGTGGGAAAGACCACATCTCTCCAAGTCAGACTACCTCAGATGAGATTTGGGATGGCTTTTGTAACTAATGTAATGTTCCGGTGTATTTTAATCTTGCTGGATTTACCTTCCTCATCTGTAAAATAAAGAATGGGTGGTTTCTTACATTTCTTTTTAGTTCTTAATTTTTTGTTTTATTTTACATTTATGCTTGACTAACAGGATTCTCAAAGTTGGATTGGTGGAAACAATGAACCATTGACTGGTTTTACATGGCGAGGTGGTTGTGAACGAGAAACAACAGGCATACAAGTCTGGAATGAAGTGTTTGTGATCGACAGACCTAATGGAACAAAAGTAAAATACTATTTATACTTTTTTACTATATTTTTCTCTTATATTCTTTCTTGAGTTATTTTCTGGTATTAAAGGTCAAAGCAACACAGAACTATTAATGTCTGATAACTAACATACAGGGTAGGGCAAAAGTAGGTTTACAGTTGTTTGTATGGAAAGTAATACAAGACTTAATAAATAGAGACTTCCGGTCAAGATGGCAGTGTAGGTAAACGTGGTATTGCCTCCTCCCACAACCACATCAAAATTACAACTAAACTACAGTACTGAACTGCCTGAAATCAAGCTGAGTGGAAGTCTTACAACTATGGAATTAAAGAAGAAGCCACATCGAGGCTGGTAGGAGGATTGGAGGTGAGGATGGGGATGGGCTGGTCCCATACCCACATGTAGTGGATAAAAATCAGAGGGATACCCGGTTGTGAAGGTCCTCCCTGAGGAATGAGAGGTCCCCATCCTACACCAGGCGCCCAGCTCAGGGTTCCACTGCCAGAAAGAAATCCCCATCACTTCTGGCTGTAAAACCAGTGGGAGCTGAGGCTGAGGGAGGCTGAGGTTTCTGGAGCCCCAGGCAGCTCCTCTTAAAGGGCCCATACGCAGACTTACTCAGACTCGCTCCTTCTGGACTCTAGCACTGGGGAGGCAGCTTGAAAGACACCAGAGACATACGGGGAAAAAACTGAATTCTTTGGCATTGGGGTGAGAGCTGGAGAGGCTGCTTTCTCCTGGACAGACTTGCTATGGGAGGCCTTTGTTCCTTCGGTGAGCCCTTCCCTGGGGCAGCAGATGGCAGCCATATCTGGGACTCCAGCAACCTGGCTCACACTCTTTGCCCCACCCTGGTGATTCCCTGAGGCCCTGCCCCACCCATCCTTCAGGCCTACCCAAGCTGTTTCCAGTGGCTTTACTATAGGATTGGCCTGTCTTGGATCCTGCTTCAGATTTTCCTGAAATCTCTCAAACAAGCAGCATCTGGTCTCAGCAAGCCCCATATCTCTCATTAAGTGGCCCCAGGCCTGGCACTAGAAGCTGCCAGCCTCTTGGTTCACAGCTTGGCTTTGCCTGGACACCTCCAAGCCCAACACAAGAAGCAGCCATTGGCAGATCACTCTGTAGCTTATGCCTGGTGGCCCCGGGTAGAGCACAGGCAGAGGCTGGCCTTGCCCCAGAGCCAGCACACCCAGTGGACAGCTTCAGACCACATCGAAGCCCTCCTCAAGTGACACAGCAGGGCTCGGTGGATACCAGAGCCCTGCTAAAGTAAGTCTTTCTCTGTGTGTTGGGCCCCTACACCACTGAATCTCCAAGGGAGTCAGAAGCCAGTGGTCAGTGGGCATAGTCAGTCCTTGCAGCTGATCGCCTGAGTAAATTCCTCCCACTGACATGCCAACAGCAATCAAGACTCAGTTACAACAGAAAGGTGTACAGTCCACATGAGGGGTGCACCTCGGGGGCCCAGTTGGGGTGGTCAGGGATGCTGTGCCATTGGACCCTATAGGACACCTACAACAATAGGCCACCCAGTAAAGCCTAGCAGACATAGTAACGCTCTAATACATAGAAACAATCACAGGGAAGCAGCCAAAATGAGGAAACAAAGAAACATGTTCCAAGTGAAAGAACAGAACAGAATTCTAGGAAAAGAACTAAACAAAATGGAGATAATCAGATGCAGAGTTTAAAACACTGATTATAAGGATGCTAAGGAACTTAGTGAGACTTTCAAGGAACTTAAGGAAAACTCAAAAAGAACTTAGTGAGAACATCAACAACATGAAAAAGGACCAGTCAGAAAAGAAGTATTAACTAATTGAAATAAAGAATGATTTACAGGGAATCAATAGTAGAGTGGGTGAAGCCAAGAAGCAAAACATCGACTTGGAATATAAGGAAGCAAAAAACACCCAATCAGAACAGCAAAAAGAAAAACGAATTTTAAAAAATGAGTATAGTGTAAGGAGCCTCTGGGACAACTTCAAGCATACCAACATTCACATCGTGGGGGTGCTAGAAGAAGAGAGAGAGCAAGAAATTGAAAACCTATTTGAAAAAATGATGACAGAAAACTTCCCTAACTTGGTGAAGGAAACACAAGTCCAGGAAGCACAGAGAGTCTTAAACAAGATGAACCCAAAGAGGTCCACACCAAGACACATTATCATCAAATTGCCAAAGGTTGAAGACAGAATCTTAGAAGCAGCAAGAGAAAAGCAGTTACCTACAAAGTTGCTCCTATAAGACTGTCAGCCAATTTCTCAAAAGAAACTTTGCAGTCCAGAAAGGAGTGGCAAGACATATTCAAAATGATGAAATGCAATAACTTACAACCAAGATTATTCTATCCTGCAAAGCTGTCATTTAGAATCGATGGACATAAAAAGAGTTTCCCAGACAAGAAAAAGGAGTTCATCACCACCAAACCAGTATTATATGAATGATGAAAGGTCTTCTTGAAGGAGAACAAAAACAAAAATATGAACAATAAAATGGCAATAAATACTTATCAACAATCGAATCTATAAACAAAATGATCAGCAGAACAGAAACAGACTTACAGATACAGAGAACTTTTTGTTGCTTGCCAGATGGGAGGAGGTTGGGGGACGGGTGAAAAAGATGAAGGAATTAAGAAGTACAAATTGGTTGTTAGACTGATGAACCTCAAAGGGAAGGAGGAAAGGAGGATAGGAAGAGAAAAACCAGAGAACTTCTATGCATATGTGCATTACCAATGGACACAAATAATAGTGTGGAGAAAGCAGGAGAGGGGCAGAATTGACGAGGAGGGGGTCATTTGGGGAAAAAAGGGGGACATCTATAATACATTCAACAATAGAAATAAGTTTTTAAAAAGAATAAATAATAATAAAAAAACAAACTGTTTCACGTACTCTCAACCTACTTTTGCCTCACCTTGTATATGGATTATTTTGTCAAAATCTGTGAGATATTTAACTTAGAGTACTTTTCTTGACTTAATTACTGGTTTTAACATTTGTCATTTTATACCTGATATTTTTAGTCTCTACTGGTGAACATTTATTTACTATGTTAAACTTTTAAATTTCTAGGTGGCTGTGCTGCTAATGGATACTCAGGGTGCCTTTGATAGCCAGTCAACAATCAAAGACTGTGCAACAGTGTTTGCTCTGAGCACTATGACTAGCTCAGTCCAGGTGAGACACAAGATGCTGTTGGCATGATTAGCTCAGAGAAGCCTAATACCTTTCCTCTTCCTCCAAATGTCTTTTGATTGGATAAAATAGATTAAAATTAGAGCTGTTCACATTTCATGCTTGCTGTTCTGGCTCATAATGTGAAATTTCATACTTTGAGTGCTTACCAAGGAAGTAATATACCAGTAGAAATCCGTTTGGTTTTCATCATAGTATCTAATGCATCCTTTTTTTAAAGGAAAAGTTATTATTGCATGCTACCCTTAATTGGATTCAGTCATATGGCTGCCTGATATGTACTCCTGACATAAATATTTCTTTTCAGTGATACTGTCACAGTGTCTTAAAATTTTTGTTATGCTTTCTAGTATTATCTAGAGCATATGACCAGTCTCTATAAGTTCCCATTTTCATCCTTCCTCAATTTGAAGTATGTAGCTGTCTGAGTGGAAAGAAATTTTGGATATTAAGGAGTACTTTTCAGCCTGGCTTCTGTTTATTATAGGGCTGGGGATATCTGTCACTGTCAACTAAATGTTGCTTTTGGGGACCCTCAAAGTCTCTTTTTTCCATTTTGTTCAACCTCTTTTTCTCTGATCTTGCGAGGTGACAGAACTGTCGATCCCTTAAGGTAAGCAGAAGCCACATCTTTGTGTTTATATTATCACATTATAGCCCTTCAGATTAGCTGGCATTGTGGCTTGACTTAAAATACAATGTGGGAGTTCTCTGTCCTAAGACTTGTACGTTGGTGTTCTCTTGTTTATTTATTCAACTTTATGGTAGTAGAAGGCCTAATTTTGGGTCTTTTATACCCACTCATCCACTTTTTATCTACAAAATGGGGATTTTACCTATCTTGCCTATCTATCACATGTGGTGGTTTGTGTGCAGTCAGATATGAGATCTAAATGAGATAATGCATAGGGAAGTGCTTTGTAAACTATAAATAATCAAGAAAATTAAAGTTGTTGTTATTATTATTTTTATTCCTCATCCGAGGATATTTTTCTACTTCTTATCAGATACAGTGGGAGGAAGGGAGGGAGAGAGAAAGAGAGAAACATTGATGTGATAGAGCCACATCAACTGGTTGCCTCCTGCACGACCCGACCAGGGCCATGGATGAACTGCAGCTGAGGTACATGCCCTTGACTGGAATCGAACCCGCGAGTCTTTGGTCCATGGGCTGACGCTCTAACCTCTGAGCCAAACCGGCCTGCGCGAAGTTGTTTTTTAGTACTGTTTTCTTACTGATCATTGAGACTAGATTTCTCACCTTCTTTACATAAGCTGTCTGGCTGGTAGATCAATGACAAATTGATTCTCTTGTCATTTATTCTTTCAACAAACAATTATTGAGCAATAAGTACAACACAGTATATTAAGTACTAATGGTCTAAACAAACAGATCCTCTCATTACTATTTGCAGCCTGGCTCTGACAATGAAGGTATCTGGACCTCTTATCTGAAAAGCTAAGGCCCATATGGTAAAAATAGGTTGGTTGTGCTTTCAGTTTTAAGTTGAAATCTAGAGGTACTCTGGTTGGAGTTAGTCATCTGAGAATATTATTTTAATTTTGCTGGCTGTTTATATTCTTGACCTCCAAGTGATTCAGCTAGATTATCACTCATTTGCTGTTAGAACAAATTGTTCTATCTTTAGAGTAACCCTGTTTTCTTAGACATAGTTATTTCTTAGAGGTGACATCTGTGGACATCCATTTTTTTCCTGTGGTGGCGTAGGTCACCTTTTAAATACTTGAGTCACAAGGACTGGACCTAGTGACTCTTTCCTCCAATTTTCCTTGAGAGTACTTAGACCTTCCAGAGGTCTGATAACAGCTCTGGTTTATGTACCTTGGAAAGCCTCCTAAAATTTTAAGAAAGGGCAAGAGTGCCACCTGCTGTTATTTTTGTCTAGTTAACAGGCAGGTAAAATTTTCATGTTCAATTATTTAGACTGATGAGTTAACTTACATAAAAAGAGAACCATGTTAGAATCTATGGTGGTAGTTGAGACATCCACCAGATAATTCTTAACTATGTACTATGATTGTATCAGGGAAGAATTTATCTTTGTAGAATTATGTTCCTCACATTCATTGACTTAGACAAATAATTGTGGAAACAATTTTTACTTAAAAAAAAAGATTGTTTTATAACAAAGTAACTTTGAAAAGGAGGAAAACTTACTACATAATATACTTTTAAAAAATATGTTTGCCACTTTTTAGGCCCTGTATGCCTATATTCATGATTTTTACAGTTTACCACCACTGTTTCCCTCTTTATATTCTATCCTGACTATTAGGAAAAAAGAGAATATCCTTTTCATGTGCCACTGGTTAAGACAGTAGCTAAGCGATTCATTTGTGTTGAGGTATAAAATACCCTTTATTTCCATGAGTACAGCTGTACACAGCTGGGTATTCCAAATAAGACATCAATAAAAACAAAATTTTGTTTTAACAGGTATATAATTTGTCTCAGAATATTCAAGAAGATGATCTTCAGCACTTGCAAGTACGTGTGTCTTAAAGAATGTATGTCAAAGTATTGAAAATTTATTCCCTACTTTATTGTGACTTTTCCCCTAGAAGCCTATAACATTGTAAGAAGATTGAATACTGCCTAATTGTACACTGATGTACCACTTCTTAACTTTTTATTCATTGAACTTTTTATTAACTAAGTTTTAATATATACCCACCTAGTCTGTTAGAAAATTAAATGCTTGGCTTTCAAATGATTTTAAAGGCTCTGACATCTAGTGGTCTCATATAGAATGAACAGCTTTACAGATATTTTCTTTCAGTCTCTTCAGAGGCATTATTTTAAATACCTTGATTTATAGTTATTTACAGAGTACGGCAGACTTGCAATGGAAGAAATCTACCAGAAACCATTTCAGGTAAATATTTTATCATTTTTTAAAATTTACCTTTAAACAGCTATCAAGCCACCTCATCTTGTAACTCTGAAAACATGAGTACATTACAACAAATTCATTTTTAGCAGTAGATTCAGCAGAATTAATACTAATTTGTGGTAATGTTATCACCAACTTATCAGTAGTAGGCTAACCAGATAGGAAATAGAACAGATAGCTATAGATTGATTTTTAATACTTTTGCATAGATTAAGAGGTTAATAATGTTTCTCTTAATTAGATGTTATTTAATTCTAAAACTTGCCCTGGCCAGTTTGGCTCAGCGGTTGAGCGTTGGCCTGCGGACCAGAGAGTCCTGGGTTCGGTTCCCGCTAGGGGCACGTGCCACACACACAAAAAAATTTCTAAAACTTAAGATAGTCCCTTAGATTTTTTTTTAACATGATAAACTACTATAAAATATTTTAGGTTTCCTTTGTGTGGCATATTACAAGTTCATGTTAGTCCTGTTATTCTTTGTTTTGGTTGCATATAGAATTATATCTCTCCCCCTTCTCCAGCTCCTATATGCCCATGTTTTTTAAATGGTTGGTACAGAATATTAAGTAAGAAACTAACCTGGGTGGAAAGTTATTTTAGAAGCATTTGCTTTGCCTGCTTTTGTGGAGCCCTTTCATGACAGAGATTAATGAAAAACAAAGCTAACGTATAAGACTACATTAGTACTGTTTGGTCAGTTGTGTTACAAGAGGTGAGAATGACTCCACCCTGTTTGCTCATCAGTGTGTGAAGTCCTTCCTGTGTGGTAGCAGTAGTGGTGAATTAGTGTCTGTGGGTTTATATTGATTCTGGCTCAGTCTTGTCGGGTTCAAGTGATCGCTTTTATGAAATATTTGGGCAGATTTTAGCTTCATTTTGTGTATATGAATGAAATACATTCGATTTGGCCTGTTTCATTCTTTTTCTGAATTGGGGTAATTTTACCACCAAGCAGACATTTACAAGTGTCTGGAGACATTTTTGGTTGTCACATTTTGGGTGGGGAGGTTAATGCTACTGGCATCCAGTGCATAGGGGCCAGCAAAGCTCTTCAGTATCCTACAGTGCACAGGACAGCCATGCACAGCTAAGAATTATCTGGCCCAAAATGTCAATAGTGTTGAGATTGACAAACCTAAGCACATGTGAATAAAAAATTCTGTGAAAAAAATTAGTTGGGGGGGAAAAATTAGTTGGTCTAGAATTAGGTTAGCTGGTCTTCTCGTTAAACAGCCTTGAGTTAATATTATGATCTGTATGTCCTAATATGCCTTTTGTTCATTTTAAAAGATCTAGTATTAATGCTTGTGGTGACTCTTTGTATGTAGCGAGGTTTTCAGATGGAGGCAGTTGCTGGTATAGGGGCTGGGAGTGTTAGTTTAGGTAGGCCTTGATATAACTATGAGTAGTATTAACCATTTATTACTATAACTTTTGATAAGGCTTGTTTAGGGGAATAAGGGAGGTAGTGAATTTTTGTAAAATTTTGTAAGAAATGATTTCCTTTTTCCCCCTTGTGTATAGACATTAATGTTTTTGATTCGAGATTGGAGTTATCCTTATGAACATGCATATGGTTTGGAAGGTGGAAAACAATTCCTTGAAAAGAGATTGCAGGTAAGTCCCACTTCTCAGAGGAGAGCGCAAGTGCCAAGCCAGGTAAAGGAGTGGCTGCCTGGACTGCTGCCGGGACTACCAGTCTCTAGGTGTCGTTAGGGTACATTGAGTGTCCCAGATTAGCCCAGATGACTCCATACATAATTGGTGAAAAGAGGACAGTGACTACAAATGGAAGTTAAGGAACAAATATTTCTCTTTCAGAGTCAGCTGCTCTCTCAGTAAATCAATATTCAAAGGATAAAAGTTTGAAGACTAACTTTTTGACCTACTTAGATTGCATGTATGTCCTTCTCTGGCCCAGCTGATCTTCTGAACATTTGGGACAGACTGAATAATATAATGTGCATATATTGAGCACAGATGATGTGAGGCGGTCTCTCCAAGGAAGACTATCTCATAGAGACAGCATATGGAGCTAGAAAGGGATCTTAAATATCTAGTTCAACCTTCTTTAGTTTTTAGATATATATATAACAAAACTAGAACCCAGAAAAGCGACTTGCCTTTGGTCACTAATTATTGATAACTGGACTAGAACCCAAATATCCATGCAATACATCACACCAAGGCATTCCTGGAAAATAACCTCATCAACATGATCCTTTATTCCTAAAGGTGCCCTCCCATGGAATTACTTGGGAAACCCTCATGTCAGATAACTTCCCGTCCACTCACATACACGAAAAATACATAACGGTCCCTTTATTCATAGGTAGGAGGGTTAATAAAATGTTCTTTGCCTATGTGATGATACATTTAGTTTCTCAACTACTGTAAGAACTTTGGGTACAGTATAGTTTTCTTATTCCTAAAATGAGATTTAAACCAAGTTCTCAATCTTTGATTATTTGGAAAGCATTTCAGACCCTACTGTTGGAGATCATTTCCGTCAACAAGGGTTTTTTTGTGTTTTTTTTCAGAAGAAATGAACACATAGCATGTTAGGTATGCTACCTAAGCTCAGAATTATGTACTTCAAAGCCAAGTAAACATGTTACATGTAACTATGTAACTGGCATCCAGAAACACCCACCTCTATCCACTGCCCCCTCCCCCCCTTGCGAACCCTCTACTACTATCCTGACCTCTAACAGACTTTGTTTGTTTTTGTACTTTTTACGAAAGGAATAATATATAGTATGTATTTGTATCTAGCTTCTTTTGCCCATTATTATGTTTCTGAGATTGATCCATATTTTTGCATGTAGTTTTTCATTTATTTACTCTCATTGCTATGCAGTATTCCATTATATGAATAGACAATGATTTTTCAATTCTAGTCTAGATGGAGATTTAGGTAATTTCCAGGTTTTGTTGATTACAAATGGTGCTTTTTGGTATGTTTTTTTAGAATGATTTTTAAGAAGTCTTTGGGAGAGTATATGAGTTATATTGGGATAAGTTGTTATTAAAAATCTAAAGTTAAGCTTTTCTTTCAGAAAATACTTAGCAGTCTCTCTTCCCTAAATACTGATAACTAGAATTAATCACAAATAATTTTATAATCTTAAGTAATCATAGAATTAAAAATAAATAATCGAGTGCTGAAATCCTAATAATTTTCTAAGGTTCTTTGGACTATACTGGAGCAGTTCACCTTAGTTATTATTTTGCTCATGGTTTGACTTTTTCATTTGTAGGCAGATTAATACTTTGTTTTTCTCTTTTCTATTATAAGTACTTTAAAGGCACATTCTTAATTTGTTACCTGGTTTGTAAATCTCAACCATGACTTGTTATTCTGCCATTAGATATTATGATTAATTATTATTTTTTATTTTTTTCCTGTCCTTGGCAGCTAACATAGGGGGGAAAAAACCACACCCATCTTTTCTGGTTTAAGACAAAGTGGGGCCTTACCAAAGTGGTCAGAAATGGGTCTTTAGTAAAATTTTATATTGTCAAACACGTATCTGGAATAGCATCTGAGCTAAGTGTGCATACATGTGAGTGTGTGTGTGTTTTCTTAAACAAATGTTTTCTCCTGTTTGCACCTTCATTCTGTCTCCTTCTGCCCTCAGGTAAAACAAAATCAACATGAAGAGCTACAGAATGTAAGGAAGCACATTCACAATTGTTTCTCAAATCTTGGTTGCTTCCTTTTACCACATCCTGGTCTTAAAGTTGCAACTAATCCTAGTTTTGATGGGAGATTGAAAGGTGGGAATTCCCATTCTTGCTAAAATCAGAACTTATTTTTTAGGGGCTGAAAGTTTTTTAAAAAGTACATAGTTTCTTAAATTTTGTGTCTTATACTGGAGGACATTTCGATGTACTGTTAATGATGTGATTATAATGATCTTTTGATCTTTCTAGCTTTTCACTGTTCTTTTGCAAACAGCTAGCATATTGATTAATATTTATAATGTGGTCTGTTGCTCAGCACTGATGTGCTAAAAATTCTGAAGGCTAAGAACATTTTATTATTTCATCTGGTTACTTTCTGCTAAAAAGCTTTATTAATATATTGTATTGATGCAACCAGATTTAAGTCTTTCCTTTTCAGGGATGATAGTATAACTTTTTTGTGTTTGTTTTGGGGTTATTTTGAGAATGATGGTAAAAAGCTTGAAGATTGATGAAACTTTTACAGTATTGCTGGAAAACAAAATCTAATATAAAAATTTAATGCAATTTTGTGAGTTATTTGTCTTCTGAAAGGGATAGTTTAGTTAATAGTTAATGTGGAGTTTGTGTAGTCCCTAGTTTGGTTTATTTATTATTTAAGCTGAAAGAATTCTTGGGGAAATGTGGGGGGAAGTTTGGGAGGGTTATGCTCTTTTCTAGGAGATAGTGACATGTTTGGATGAGTTTTTTAAATGATCTACTTTAAGTAATAGATACTGTGAACTCTTATTTCATGAAACAGAATTTTATTAGCTACCAACAGGGAATTCTTCACTTTTTTTTGGACTAATATGTTGACTAATTTCATGTTCACTAGATATTGATGAAGACTTTAAACGAGAGCTTCGAAATCTGGTTCCATTGCTGCTTGCCCCTGAAAATTTGGTAGAAAAAGAGATAAGTGGATCTAAAGTCACTTGTAGAGATCTTGTAGAATATTTTAAGGTAGGAAAACTCTTACATTTAATGATTTGGTTTTAAGTTTAGAAATGTAGATGAATTAAAACTCATCTATATGTACAAGATACTTATTTTAAAGCAAAAGAGTAACATTTATTGTTTATCTGCCTTGAATTGGGTGTATCAATATTTACGGATATTTAAGATTGTAGCAGACACCTTGTATCTTCTAGACAGTGATTTTGCTTATAGAATTATCCTACTTGTTCTCCAGCTCTGATACTGTAATACCACTCTATCATTTGTGATGACAGTAGGGATTGAGAACATAATTCTCCATATTGAGTGCTTACAAAAGCCTTCTCTCAGAGTTCTGAGGACTTGATAGCAGCTGAAAGTATCAAAACTGGTTTCTGAGTGCAAGTAAAATATTCGTAGATTTTTTTCTCTGCTCTTTGTAGCTTGATTGCCAAAGCAAGATCATTGTAGAGGGTTGCATTTATTCATAGTAGTTATGACTGGGTAGAAGGGAAAACACAGTTAACTAGGAGTGTATTTTTGTTTAGTTATGAATTAATTTAAAATCAGTAGAAAGTTGAGATGAAAGATTCCTATATGGACTTATTGAAAATTCTCATCTTGTCACCCTATTCTTAAACCACAATTATGTAATTTTTTTTCCCTTAAACTGAAATATCACTTAAGCTGGTCAATGTAAAATACTGAATTATAATGTTTTCTGGCATATTTATTTGAAACATTGGCTGTAGGGGAAAATTATGGATTTTTTTCATAAAGTAGATGGCATTTTATATATAACTTAAATATGAGACATGTAACTTTTATACAAATTGGAATTATACATAGAAATTTTTCTGTAGGATATTATTTAGCAACATATGTATTTAATAATGTTGAGCACAGGGTTAATTTTGTTAGAATGAGAGTGGATGATTTTTAAAGCCTAGACTTTCCTTTTAATAGTGTGAATCATGTTTATATTTAATGACTTTTCTTTCTTTGGGATTGAAGATCCAAATTGCATAACCTACCAATATAATGAGTCTTCTGTATTTTTAGGCTTACATTAAAATTTATCAAGGAGAAGAACTTCCACATCCAAAGTCCATGCTTCAGGTAGTGTGTGTGTTGTACATGTATTTATTTGTGAGGGAGAAAAAAAATCTTTGTTTTAGAGATAAATGCTGGAAATGGGTGGTGCTTCTTTGCATGCATATAAATTTTAGATATTTAAGGCAATACATGTCATGGATCCTGACGTTTTTATATGATTTTTTTTTTTTTTTGTAACCATAGATTGCAGACCTTGCATACACATAGGTCACCAAAATAAGAATCCTCCATACCTTCTCTTCAGTTGCTCAGAAAGTGTAGGAAAATTTCTGTTGCAAGAAGATAGCTTAAAATGGACCTCACTGAATCTGGCTTCTCCTTTTCTCTGAATCTTTGACAGTGAATGTTGTTAGAAATAAGGCTTATTTTCTTTTTGTATTAATGATTTTGAGCTGCTTCTAATAAGCAGTTTTGTGCATTTAAAAATACCCCTTGTGTGTCCTGGCTGGTTTGGCTCAGTGGTTAGAATGTCGGCCTGTGGTCCGGAGAGACCAGGGTTCGGTTCCCACTAAGGGTGCATATCTCGGTTGCAGTTTGCCCCTGGCCCTGGTTGGGTCGTGCGGGTGGCAGCCACTCGATATGTACCTTTCATGTTGATGTTTCTTTCTCTCTCTCTCTCTTCCTCCCACTCTATCTGAATAAAAGATGTGAAAGTGTCTTCGGGTGAGGATTTAAAAAACAACAAATACCCCTTGTGTAATACTGATTATGAGAGAGACAACCATATGGGTAATACTTGATTCTTTACATCTGGAGACTTGACAATTTTAGGGTTGTATCTATTGTCTATTATTTTCTGAGCATATGTGGTATTTCCTATAAACCCATTTTAACAAACCTAAGCAAAACTTATTTAGGCAGGCAGTTCTGTTAGAAGCAATTACTATATCCTTTATACTGGTGTTCCCTTCCATTGGAATGGAAAACTGGAAGTTGGTAATATTTTCTCTGATTCATTTTCAGACTTCTTTTTTTTTTTAAATCCTCACCCGAGGACATTTTTCCATTTTTTGTTCAGATAGAGTGGGGAGGGAGAGAGAGAGAGAGGAAGAGAGAGAGAAACATCGACGTGAAAGGGACACATCGAGTGGCCGCCACCCGCACGACCAACCAGGGCCGGGGACAAACTGCAACTGAGGTACATGCCCTTAGCGGGAACCGAACCCGGGTCTCTGGACCGCAGGCCGACGCTCTACCGCTGAGCCAAACTGGCCAGGGCCAGACTTCTTTATTGTATATAATTTACTGTGTTATTCAGAATTTATAGAAGCATCAGGTTTGTTGTTGTTTTTTTTTATAAAATTGGCACATTTTATTTTATTTTTTTAGGCAACAGCTGAAGCTAATAATCTTGCTGCAGTAGCAGGAGCAAGAGAGATTTATTGCAAAAGTATGGAACAGGTTTGTAACTAAAATTTAAATTTGACACTAGAGTGAGGTAGACGATATTTATTATCTAAAATAATTGAAATAATTTGTGCTCCTTATACATTGTTATGTTACATCATTTCCTAATTCCCTTTTATTAACTCTGCTGGAAATAAACTAAGAAAATAATTCACAGAGTGCAGGATATGGGTGGTAAGTTACTACATAAACCGTGCTGAAATATTTTCTGACACATGATTCAGAGTGCTGTTTATTAGTAGCTTCTGATGTAATTAACATTAGCCTAAGGCCAGTAGCAGTTTCTATGCTAAGCTTGCTAACTTGAACATTAATGTACTTTTTAAAATTTATCTTTTACCCACATTCTTGCCTGCAGTTTTTTGTACTCTTATGGTGTATTAGTGGATCAAGTGAAATCAGGTTCAGATTTCAGTGTCATTATTTTGTCTTTGCTTGTATTAGTCATATTTGGAAATATATTTTGCCTGAGTCAGACATATCAGTTACAACTAAATAGGTTATGGTTATGTGTGAGATAGTATGAACAAGTTTAAAACTGAACCATGTAGGTGATTTGACTTTTTGAGACTAAACACTGTGAGAAGGGAATTTTCAGATGTGAATTATTTCTAGCATGTAAATCTATCGTTCTGTAATCATATCTGTACAGGTATGTGGTGGGGACAAGCCTTACATTGCACCTTCAGATCTGGAGCGAAAACACCTGGATTTCAAGGAAGTGGCGATTAAACAGTTTCGCTCAGTAAAAAAAATGGGTGGAGATGAATTCTGCCGTCGTTATCAGGACCAGCTTGAAGCTGAAATTGAAGAAACCTATGCAAATTTTATAAAGCACAATGATGGCAAGAATATCTTCTATGCTGCTCGTACCCCTGCCACACTGTTTGCAGTCATGTTTGCCATGTATATAATCTCAGGACTGACTGGCTTCATTGGCCTAAACTCTATAGCTGTCTTGTGTAACCTGGTCATGGGGTTGGCACTGACATCTCTTTGTACTTGGGCATATGTTAAATACTCTGGGGAGTTCAGAGAAATTGGAACAATGATTGATCAGCTTGCTGAAACACTATGGGAACAGGTTGGTATCTATCTTTTGGTTTTTAGAGACTAATCTCATCCCTGTGACTTTCCTTCCTCCCCACACAGTATTTACACACCTACTTTTCCTTTATATGAGGAATGTCAAAAGGATTTTTCCGTTTTATTTGGATGTATAATCTGAATATAAAGTGTGAACAGGAGAATGTTTTTTTCTTTAAAGTCATAATTTTAGAGTGCTTTAGTTGGCTTAAATTTGTAATATCCTTTGGACAGATTCTTAATCATAGTCCTGACTCTATCAAACAGTGGGCAGGGCAAGTCTCTAAGGATTTCTTTCTTTGAGAAGAGAAAATATAATTGGCGAAAGAGTTATGAAAGTAAGGAAAAGAAGTATGGAAGTTCAGTAATTTAGGGAAGCAAAAGAAGTTTCATACTAATAATGGCAAGAAGCAATGCATGCTTATATTCCAGGAGAAATGTTAGATGGTATTCAGGTCTCCATTGCCTTCCATGAAGAGATAGTAGTGATTTGCTGATGTACTACAATGAACAATCCAATAGGGATTTCTTACACAAAACACTTTGTTTGACTTCTGTATTATGGAAATGCTGATGAACAAAACAAAGCACTACAGAGAACCAACTCTTAATCATAATCTTTTACTTCAACCAGATATCAAAGTCCAGGCTGACAAGTGTCTACTAAGGAAAGCCATGTTGTATATTGGCCAACCGTGTGTTGGAATTGCCCATGTACAGAAAATTCCATTTAAGGATGTTGTCATTAAAATGATCATCATGAAATTCTTGAGCATCATGTCAAGGACCAGAATGAAAGCTGCAGTTATTACTGATGAACAGTAAAATGGGCATTTTCAGATACCATTTCTGGGCTGAAAGTATTTGGCTTATTGGAAGATCTAGAATATGCAGGTCCATGTTGGTTTTGGCTTAAAATTTAAAGACTGAAGAAGTAAACCTTTTTTTTTTTTGTAGAAAGTTCATTATTCTTGTAATAATATCATTATTTTATAAAGTGACTCACTATATTAATATTATTTTATAAAGTGAATCACTATTAATATGGATTTTATATTCTTTAGAGAAATGCTCATTTTTATTCAGATCTGATTAGGAAGCTTATGTTTGGATATGTGTAAAATTTAAATTTTTATCTCAAAAAATCTCTCCACATTCCGTTGATACCTTCTAATAGAATATGGATTAAAAGCTGTTACAACCTCACTTTTAAAGAAAGTATTATCCACTAAATTTTTGGACCATTACTAATTTTCTGCAACATGAAATTCAATAACTGTACGGTATCTTCTTCAGAAAAACCAATCATCTCCTGTACAGCATCGATTCTAAGATTTGAGAGGTGCCATTATTACAAAACAAATGGAAGAATCTAAAGTGTGAAAAATTATTTTTAGTGTAGTTGAGGTAAGGTGAGCACTAGACAGAGAAGTTCTGTGCTGTGTCGACAAACCTTGTCTAAATTTTTTTTTGCATTTCTCTTTTCTTTTGCTTCAGAGGAGTCCCAGGAAGGTGAGAAACCTACAAAGTCTCAAATTCTTGTAGTCTTAAACTCTTAAACTTCAAGGCACTCTCAGTCATTCTCCTAACAAATCACTCCATGTTTTAGGTGTTTTCCAAACTGTTTGAAGTTACTAGACGCCGAATGGTTCATCGTGCTCTTTCATCAGCACAGCGACAGAGACTGTCATCCAACAATAACAAGAAGAAAAATTAGACAGTATTTTAAACTTTTTTCTCTATCTGAAGTGTTCACACTTATACATGTAGGACAATAAGCAGGACCGTCTGGGCCGGTCTGCATAAATGCTGTGTACATACCAGATTTGATGCTGCATATAGGGTATGGAATTGCACATCCATCTCATAGGACTGTACATGGTTTGAATAAGAGGAAAGTGATTTTTGTTATATTATAAAATGTCTAACTGCATTATTTGTAGCATTGTAACTTTTTTGGGGGAGAAGCATCTTTTTATTTTCCACATTCCTGGTTATTTTCTTCATTGCTTTGAATTGAATTTTTATATCTATTTTTATATGTAACTCTTTTTTTACCTCATGTTTTTATTTGTTTTGCACATTTCTCATACCACAGGTATTGAAGCCCCTGGGTGATAATTTGATGGAGGAAAACATAAGGCAGTCTGTATCAAACTCCATCAAAGCAGGCCTGACTGACCAGGTGTCTCATCATGCCCGGTTACAGACGGACTGACAGTTCATCTCCTCATGGACTCCACTCCCTCTTTTTTCATGCTTGCTGTACAATGAGAACTCCAATACAAATAAACCAAAGTTTACAATCAACTGTAGAAGTAGTTTAGTACAACTGGCTTCACATATGGCTGCCACAGAGTGTGAAAATTGTTGGTTGGTTTTAAGCATTCTTTTCATGGCTCCTAAGGCATGGAGATTAGCTGAGGAGCAGTAGTTTATCATGCACAGTTGTGCCATGTTTTTAATTCTTTTTCTTTTTACTTAATCTAATGTTAGTGAAATTTGTGTTATGTAAAAGGATATTTCAGGGAAATATTTTAAGAAATCTATTTAGAGTCTAACACAGTGTCCCATTGACTTTTAATTTTTAGAGAAGTTATGAATCACTGTATAAAGAATCAGATTGGAATGACAATGAAGCCTTTATTGAGCCACTACATTAAAAGTATATATTGCTTTACTGCCTTCAGTACCAGTATTACATAAATGCATGTATCAGAAACTTCACAGAAATTACATGACAACTCTTGTAGCTGAGAAAGTGATTCTGAGGTGTACATTTGTCTTGCCTTTTTAAATTTATAAACCTGCCCTAAAAGGAGATGCATATCTGGGAAACTGAACTGTCATTATGCAGTTTAGCCTTCATGTACATAAAATATGCCATTAATTTTATTGGGGGAGAAATTCCATCCAAAAATGTTGCCTACACCTATGAGTTAAGAGTGTCTGTACAGTGTGTAGCTTTTATTTTCTAAACTCACAGATAGGGCATGTATATGAATTATAAATATATAAATAACGATTTTGTATTAAAAGTTTTGTAGTTTATGGCAAAATCTGGTTCTGTGGTAGGCTAATAAGTGCAGTCCCTGTGAAGGAATGTTTGTGGCTCACGTCAGTGTGTGAATTCATAGACTTTGAAGTTTTTGATATATTTGTGATATTTATCTTCCTTGAGCACTGCAATCTACCCCCCCCCCCCCAAGGGAATCCAATGGGAATGTTGATCGTGACTTTGTCCTCTGTTGCATTTTAAAGTTATTTCCTGTAATTTATTTTCAGTATATAATTAAAAATTTGTTGTATATATAAGATGAAACTTGTGATTCTTTTTTTAAGAAATTCTTCAAGTCTGTATTCCATTACATAAATCATATTTGTTTATTTTGAAAAAGAGCATGAGCAGGACACACCTAAGTGAGAGCTCTAAGGTATCATATTATACCTCCAAGCTAAGCTTGTAAAAGTTTTCTGTGTCTGTCTTGGTTAGGGAAAACTTGTGATTAGCCTGGGGTGTAGATGGGGATTTACTCATTTCTTTTCTTTTTTTCTTTTCTTTTTTGTGTGACATGTGAGGCTAACATTTCTGCAATACGTTTTTGTAGCCTTCTTTATGAACACCTGTTAAAGCACCTACTTTGGTTTTTAAGTGAAGAAAATTCAGATGTTGAGTTGCATGCCTGAAAGCTCTAAATTTACCTTGGTTGGTAATATCTCTTCTCCCCCTTTGACTCCTGTTTTTCTACGGATTGTATTTGTTTCCATCTGTATTAAATTGCTAACAACTCCTCTGTTCTTAAACATAAAGAATCCACTTGAAAAGTGTTTCTTTTTGTTTCTTCTACCACCCGTTTTATGAATGCTGTGGACTGTTTTTATGAATGAAAAAATAAAAAATTTGTTGTATAATAGTTATTATGAAATTAAAGACACATAGCTTACTTTTTTTTTTTTTTTTAACTAAAACGTTGTGAAATCTAGACCATTGGATTTCTTAGTATTTCTTGTTGGAAAAGAGTGTGTTTTCTCCAAAGAAGATATACTTCTATAGATGATTCCAAGAAAGCACTTTGGTTTCAGCTGGAAAATTCTGAACATTGTTAAGCAAGAAGCAATAAAAGGGATTCAAGACAAACTCAAAACTGTTTACTGAAATAACTTTGGTGTAGTGTATTTTCTGTCGTACAACTGTTTAGTAATCTATATTACAAGATAGGTTTTTATAAAGAAATTCTTAGGACAAATGATTTATCTTCCTAGTTAAAACAAATAATTTACTTTTGTGAAAGGGACAGTTCATTTGTGACTTAACTACTGATTATGCCTTTTACATTTGTCATGAAGATGGTCATTGTTGCTTCAGTGAACACTGTGTTTGTAGAATCGCATAGCAGTATTTCACGTTCGAGGGTTATATTTTCAGAGACCCCTGGGCTTGCTTTAGTTATTTTACCTCCAGAATTGGACAGACTAGGGACTTGACCCTTGTAGGTATGAGTGCTTTTGGTGGTGTTTTATTATTATGAGATTAAAACATGTTTGGTCTTGGTTAAGAACCTATTAAAATATACCATAAAATTTCAAAAAACACTGTTGTTGTTAGCGGTTTACTCTATAAGAGTTCAAAATGGCCCTTCGGAAAGTTGTCCTAAGCAGTTTAGTCTTCTAACAGGAATTGGCTCTTGACTAGCTGCTTATCTGCTGGCAAGGGTTGCTGTGTCTATTGCAGACATACAGGTTTCAGCAGTTGCATGCAGGACCCGAATTCCCATGCTGGGGCCAGAGTCGGTCTGTGCACCTGAGTGTTTTCCATTGGGTCCTAGTTGGGTGGTGAGGGAAACAGCTGGAGAGCTGGCTGCGCGCTCCTGCTGCCGTCTGCGCCCTGGGCCAGGGCTTGCTGAGGAGGTCCTCTCGCTTAGACTCGTCTGTCCTGGGGAGAACTTGCAGTTGGCTTGTTGGGCAAGCAAAGCTAAGTTAGGGCTTTCCCAAGCAGGACAGACCTGACACTTCCTCTACCAAAATCACGTATCAGATGTCGCAATTCCTCCTTCGGGTTTTCAGTTTGCTGAGTTTAGGCTGAGGAATTGATCTATCCTCCACATATTTCAGCGTAATACAACCATTATGTTCTTGTAGTTCTGTGACTTTTTGGGCTCATCAGAACTCAAGCTAACAGCACCTAAAGGTATGTATAAAAAGGATTAGGAGTGGGGATCACAGCCTTTGTATAGCTTAATAAAGCATTTCCGTGTATAGTAGTACTCTATGCTCCCAGCAGTACTGTGAGGTGGCTGGGAAACCACTTGGTTAATAAAGGTGTCCCAGGTGTCTCAGGCTTGCAAACCCAGGACTCGACTACACACCTCAGGGTTCGAGTAATGTCCCTAACGCAAGATGAAAGCTCTGTCTTGCTTGTGTTCTGAAAAGTACTAAATGGTGGAGAAAACAAGATTTTGTTATTACTGAAGGTGAAGAAAACCACCCATAATAATGTCCTTTTGGTTGTACACCTCAGAGATGACTATTATTTGGTGTGTGTGCTATCAAAATCTTTCCCGTGCTTACTGCCATAAGACATATTCTTGATTTTTATTTTACACGAAAGTAGAATTACACTGGACATACCTTTTTTTCATATACCGTGGGCATTTTCCTGGGCCATTAAATAATTCTTTAATGCTTGCAAAGTTACTTTGATTATTCTGAGGGTGGATGAGATTTTGAGGAGAAAGCACTAGGACTTGGGTTGTTGATAATTTTCTTACTTTTTATGACAGTTTTCCCCTACCACAGAGGGGTGTGCATTTACTGTTCATGGGCATTACCCCTGTTGTGTGGCACGAGCTCTAGACATCCTAGATTTCCTCCAAATTAAGGGAGATCCATTTACATTACCTCTTCATCATTTCAGAATTGCTCTAGAATAAGTCCAGGTTTTATCAATCAGGGCATTTTTAGTATCAACAAATGAAAAGACCCTCTTTATCCCCTTCCTTTTTCCCACCCCAAAAACAAAATTACATTTCAGAATTAGTAGCTTTTTATTCTTCATAGAGTTGTAATTATAGATGTAGGAACCCGAGGAAACATGTTGCTGCTTTGAATCTCACTTCCTGCCCAGGCAGAATATTGTGAGGTGAATACAAAAAGTGAACTTGGAAGGGCTAAGAAACACGCCACGTCAGCAGTAGTACAGTCGTCTCTTCTTACCCCCTCATCTTCACTTCCTGAAGTTTCGGTTACTTGGGTCAACGGCAGTCCACAAATATTCCATTTCCCCGACTACTGACACCATGTGCTCCTGACAGTCAACCATCGGTGTTGTCATGCTTGATGGTCTAGGATCACTTGAAGCAAGTAACCCTCCTGACATATTGTGAGAAGGTCAGTGGTAGTTTAAGGTTACATAGCAATGCCTATGTCATTCACCTCACTTCATCTCATCACGTAGGTGCTCTGTCATCTCCCATCACAAGAATGGTGAGTACAGTACAGTAAGATATTTTGAGAAAGACCACATTACTCTTAGTAATATTTTGTAATAATTGTTACGTTTTGTTAAAGTTATGGTTAATATCTTACTGCACCTAATTTATAAAGTAAACTTTATCATAGGTATGAATGTATAGGAAAAACAGTGTTCATAGGTTTCGGTACTATCCGCGGTTTCAGGCATCCATTAGGGGGCACATACTCCCCACGGGTAAGGGGCAGACTACTGTGGTGGTAGTAGCCCAGTAGAGAAAGTGATATCCATTCATTCATTTATTTGATTATTCCACAAATATTTATTGCATACCACATGTCAGACCCACTTATAGGCATGAGAAAAACATCAATGAGCAAAAGAGACAAAATTGTCAGCTTTTGTATGGAAGTCAATGATAAATATAATCCAGTAAATTATATGGTTTGTTAGAATGTAATAAGTGTAATAGGAAAAAAATGGATCAGGATGAGGCATGTGTGGGGTAGAAGTTTACTATATATAAATGGGGTGGTGAGGGAGCTTTACTGAGGTGACGCCTGAGCAAGGACTTGGAGGAGCTGAGGGAATGAGCCATGCAGATACACAGGGTGGGGCGAAATTAGGCTTACAGGGGTTTGTATGGGAAATAATACACGAATAAACTGTTTCCCTTATAACTGTAAACCTACTTCTGCCCCACCTGTACTGGGGAAGAGTATTCCAGAGAAAGGGAATAGGTAGGTAGTGCTAAGACCTGAGGAATGGGTGTGGTTATCACGATAAAGGGGGAATAAGGAGGCAAGTTTACCTGGGATCATAGGGTCAGTGAGCTTGTCAGGGGGCCAGGTCATGTAGGTCTCACCGGCTGTTGAATTTTTAGTAGAAGGAAAGCTGAGAACTATTAGGGTATTTTGAGCAGATGACTGTTAGAAAATCAGATTTCGACAGGGTCATTTTGGCTATTGTGATGAGAATAGATTCCAGGGGAGTGGACAGGATAGAAAAAACGAGATCAAGTAGGAGGTCATTGAAACAATCCAGGTGATAGTGATAATGACCATGGGTCAGATGGTAAGAAATAGATTTTGGATATATTTGATGAGTATAGAAGCCAGGATATGAACGTTTCCTAGATATAAGATATTTTGTCTTTACCACAGAGCTTGAAAATTTTCAAAGATGACAAGACTGAGGCAAAGCACATAACTACTTCATCTTTTTATACTAATTAGCCTTGGTTCTAACAACAGCATCCCGTCTAGCTAATTTAAGTAGGAAGGGCTTTGGAGAAGCTAGGCTGAGCTAGAAACAACTCCCAGACCACACCCTAGATTTGATCGGCCAGTGGAGCAGCGGCCACAGCGTAGCCGTGCTGTGGGTGGGAAACAGCCACTGACCTCACAGCCAGGCTGCCTCTGCTGCCTCTCAGAACATTCGCTTCCAGAAAAATGTTTGCACATGTATATTTGATTGGTAGAATCTACCACATCTGTTGTATTACTTTAAAATGTTCAAGGTACTTAAAGTTATTCTATATGAGGAAGGTAGGATTTATACTTGAGGAATTACCGAAGTGAGGAGAGGTTGTTGGAAAGATTTGGGGAGGGACAAATGTTCGCTCTGGCTGTCCAGCATCAACACACACCCTTCTTCCATCTTTAAATCTCCCTCATACAAAATACGCTGCTCTCTCAAAAGGGGAAGCCCAAAATTTCAATTCCTTGCATTCTGCTGAAAATTCAGGATGTGATGTTCGTTATCATTTAAACACAAAGCCACCTGAACACCCTCTA